ATTGGTTGAAAACTGTTATTTCTGGATGAGGAGATACAACACTATACAAGAACAGCTTAATTTCCTAGTAACCTCTATGACTCGGAGGAGGAGATGCAGCCTCTGCCGCCTTCCGTCCAGCTCAACAAGATCACTGAAGAAGAATTAAAGCAATAAGAAGTCTCTGCTCATGGCTATCAAGGGTGAGATTTATGACGTGTCCCAGAGCAGTGGAGTTGGTATACCAACATACAGAAGTGGCAAGCATAGAACAAGATAAGATTCCACTTCTAAAAAAGGATGTCTGGAGATAAGAAAAGCCGAGGAGGAAGTGGATTCACAGTCACTGCTCACCCATGCTGTAAACCTGCAAAGCTGAAAGCAAAAGTAGAGAAGAGAATAAAATCTGAGAGATTGGGATTTGACTGAGTAGGACCGCAAGTGGTAGGGGACAAACAGTAAAGAAGAGATTAAAGATTAATTGGGCGCACATGCATGACAACAGCCCAAAGATAGAGACAGAGAGAGAGGTGTGGTGGAAAGAGAAAAGGAAAAATAGAAAAAACTCTTTAGCACGCAGTAGGCGCAGTACGTACCAACAACATGCAACTGTCAACCACTCTCATAAAGGAAATCTCGCTGTTGCCGATTTACTTTTCTTATCTTTTGGAGACATCTGTATAACCCCACCAGAGGGTAATCATAAATAAAGAAAGAAGGCAACATGCCAAAAAAAAAAAAGAGCAAAATGTCAGCAAGCCTAGTTCAATGGGCTGGAATGTTATGTGGAGGGCGAAGACCCATATGCCCAAAAGAGCCAGGCCCTATGGCTTTAAACTCCAACCTCCATCCCTCCACTTAAGGTTCAACCTCTATTATCACCAACCAGATGATCAAAAGTACGTCCAGTACTCCAAAATTATTCGGCAGCCTGCCGCTATTATCATCAACCAGGTGATCAAAAATACGTCCAGTACTCCAAAATTATACATGAGCATCACTTATGTCAATCATGCATAATCATTCATGAGCATCACTCATGTTAATCATACATAAACATTTATGAACATCACTCATGTCAACATTCATGAGCATCACTCTTGTCAACATCCATGAGTATCACTTATGTCAATCAACATAAACATTCATAAGCATCACTCATGTCAATCAGCTTCGAAAGCTTCATTTACAGAGCTCTAGCTTTTAGAGCTCCAGCTTCGAAAGCTTCATTTACAGAGCTCCAGATTCAAAGCTTCATTTACAAAAGCTCCAGCTTCAAAGCTTCACCTATAAAAGCTTCAGTGCATGGTATACCAAGACTGCCTCCGAACAACCGCCACTTCGGCCCATACATTGATTGAATTTGAAGTCTCCAACTAACAAACTCTATTGACTGAAGACTTAGGGGACTACACTATGTACCATATGTTAGGTTTCCGCAACTGGGTCTCATGAAAAATACTTGGGGGACTTAACCCATTATTTATGTACTGAGGAGCGAACCCTTATTTTATAAAAGGGACTCCTTCACTTTCATTAGAGAGCACCCATTATTAATGTATTGAGGAGCGAGCCCTTATTCTATAAAAAGAACTCCCTCACCATTATTAGAAAGCCTCACCGCCAGTTGAGCAACCGCCTCGCCGTGAGCATCAACTCTAGCCCATCACTTATGTATTGAGGAACGAACCCTTATTCTATAAAAGGGACTCCCTCACCATCATTAGAAAGCATCGCCGCCTGCTGAGCAACCGCCTCTAGCCCATCATTTATGTATCGAGGAGCGAACCCTTATTCTATAAAAGGGACCCCTTCACCTTCAATGCATCAAGCCGAGCCAACCAAGGCAATATAAGCCACAAGCCGAGCAGCCTGGCAACATGTGCTACTTCTAGATGAGCATCATTTCACATTGAGCATCGCCTCATATCGAGTATCAGTTCTAGATGACATCTAGTTACTTCGGCCTACACATGGACTGAATTTCAAGTCTCCAGCCAAAAGACTCTCTTGACTGAAGACTTGGGGGACTACTGTTGGTACCATATTATATTGGGCCTCGTTACTTGGGCTTCCAGACATTGAGCCCATGATCTATGTAAAAGGGGATGAGCCCTTAGTCTATCAAAGGGACTCCTTACCCTCACAATCCACATGCCTCACATCCCCAAACAGAGGCTCTTATATTCAGAGCAAAGCTCTCTCAAACTCTCTCTTTCTCTAGAGGACTCCCTCTCACACTTGTAATCCATACATACAGTTACAGAGAAATACAATCAACATCAGTGTGGACGTAGCCCAAACATTGGGGTGAACCACGATACATCTTGTGTTCTTTACTTTTTTGTAAATTCACGGTCGGATTTAAGTTGTTCCAAGACCCTCCGGTTTTGTGCATCAACAAGACTAGTTTAATCACTTGTATATAAAATAGGAAAAAAATAAATCAATCCAATTGTGTTCTAAACAATATTCATCAAAATTACTGGGAAAATTTAAACTTTGATGCAAAGAGCGAAGCACATTTCTAGCCAACTTAACTAAACTCAAGTGTGCACACTGTGATTCGACAAAGAAAAAATGTTCACATTGTGTTTCCTTTTCCTTGTATTATAACACGTGAAGTATTGCTTGAATAACTTACGCTTAGAAAATCCTCTCTCCTTTATGATAGAATTAGAAAATCACTTGAATAAGAAAACAATATTGTTTGTATTATACTTCACTAACCTTGAAACTACCGAGCACTTGTCAACTTTATACTTTCGAAGACTTACTAAAGAATTCATGGTGAGGTACCTATATATACTAAAACACATGAGTTCCTCTTCAATCAAGAGACCAATAATCACAACATGACACATGTCAACACTATAATAAAGCTCCTAGAGTCCTCCATCGACTGCGGACGAAAGCATGGGACTCTTCTCAGCTATAAAAGAAGATCGTTATCCCACTATTAATCTCTAATGCTATTATTCTACTTAATCAATTATTGGAACTCACTCATGGTATTGTACTTAGGGGGTGTAGTCAATTTGGATTTCGAAGAATTTCAAAAAAAACTTTTTTTAAATGGCAGATTTCAAAGGATTTTAATAGACTCTACAATTCTAGATGGATTTTGACAGATTTAGATGGATTTCGATTGTAGATTTGTATGGATTTCTTAGGATTTTTTAGTTGACTTCTACAACATCAAATGAATTTCTTTATCAATGCACAATTTGACAAAAAAAATTAAACATAACATAAACATACATATATTGATATAGAAATACAAACCAATCAAATATGTCTTTCCCCTTCTCATTTGAATTATAATTAAAAAAAATCAACTAACCAAAACAAAGATCATTGACTCATAACTACCTGCAATCAATCATGTGATTAAACTTGAAAATAATAATTTCAACTCACAAAATTAAAATAAGGAATCGAAGCCATTCAAATATTTTGTATAAACCAAAAGCAACATCACAATTGAATTTTAAAATCTAATTCAATACACACACACACACACACACACACACACACACACACACACACACACACACACACACACACACACACACACACACATACACACAAAAGGCAAGTCAAAAAATACATTGTCTATATTCTGGGTTTTGTCCCATCCGTTCTCTGTGAGTTGTTGCTCTTCATATTTTGGATGTTGTCCCATTCAAATAATACGTTGGATTGGAATTGTACATGACAGAATGTCAGTGGGTGCGTTGCTCGGGATGAGGGATGACGAAAGATTGTTCATCTTCTGCAAAGAGGATTCTTTGGTCTAGAAAAGAAATCCTAGGGGTGAAGGTTGGATTGTTGAAAGCATTTGGTACTTATACACCTTCCCTCAAATGCATCAAAATCCCTCACCCATTAAAATCCTAGCAAATCTTTTATATTCTCACTACACTTAGAATGTGTGGACTTTTTAAAATCCTAAATGACTATCGTTAGATTTGGATGTATTCTTTAAAATCTTCTCAAATCCTAACTTGACTACACCATGATTTCAAAATCTTTTAAAATCTGCTTTCAGAATTATAATTGACTACACCCAGATTTTAAAGTCTATTAAAATCCTATCAAATCCTAATTTGACTACACCCCCCTTAAACCTTTGTATCATGTAAATACATTATCAATGGGAATTCCTCTACCCTCGTGAACGTAGTTCAACTTAAGGTGAACCACGTACATCATGTGTTTGTTTCCCTACTTCTATCTCTTTACATACTACCCATACTTGATGACCAGCAACCTTGTGAAGGTTATAACTTGACACTTGATATTGTTCGAGAGTTAACCCGGTTTTGTGCATTAATATTTGGTGTTGTTTATGGGAACAACACTGACTCCTGCTCTTACCAGTCAAGCTTACTTCCATCTTTCGTACACTTTCCTACGATCAAGCATCCATCTCCAATATAAGAAGTGAGGGGAGTCACAATGTGACATCCCGTCCCGAGATTTATTGTGTTTTATTCTTAGTAGTAGTGAAATTATCAAAATACCCCTAAGATGCCAGGTAGGCCTTCCACATGGACTTCAAATTTTCCTTTCACTTTACTATTTTTAATAGTACTCATTTTTACAAACACGTGGCCACAAACGGAACTCAATTCGGAGTTATAATGAACAAGTTATAATCGAAACAGTATAAATTCACGTGAGAGAGGTTGAAACTTTAAAAACCAACCTCGTGTAGTGTGCACCACTGCCTTGTTCTGGCGTGGGAAGCATATACCAGCCTTCAAAGAGGCTTAATGTTGAGGGATGGTGTGCAAGTTGCTTTAAACAAATATTATTTTGGGTTTTAGAAACTCAAAACTAGCTTCATCACACATCACATCATTTTTCTTTCTTTTTGACCGGTTCCTTCATTTGGCTTTCTCTCCCTCTCTCTCTCTCTCTCTCTCTCTCTCTCTCTCTCTCTCTCTCACTAATTGTATTATTTTTAAAAACTTTCTCTCTCATTCCATCATATTCTTCATCTCTGTAAATAGAGAGGCCGAAAGACCAACGACCTTCACCCTCTATTTCTCTGGCAAACCACCTTCTTCGACCAAATCAAACCCTAGAAAGTGGAACCTTGACCTCTGGGACATGAGAAATTCACCGGCAGCTTTGCATGTGCCATAATAGAACCTTCATGTGCCATACCATTAACATCAAGAGCTTGAGCTCTCTCAAACTCCACCTTAGGTAAGGTTCTAATTTTCAAAATGGTTTTTGTGGGTTATAATCTTGTTCAAACTGTGTTTTTATGTCAAAATTTCAAGGGTTTAGACCCTGTTATGAATCTATGCATGCATGTCTTCCCCTGACGACGAACTCCGGCGAAATGTCGTTGAGTTAGAAGTTAGTGGGTGTTCCTAACATATCAAATCTCTCCCTCTATGTCTTTGTGATAGATTGAGTAGAACCCATTTGAGCCCTAACCTCTGCATGCACATCTCTATCTCTTTTCCAATTTTCAACGAGGGGTAATGGACAAACTTCGGCAACCTCCGTGATTTTCAGGCCATTTTCCTGCCAAACCACGACGATTTAACCGCCTAGAAAGGTACGAATCTGTTCATCTTGTTCCAGGGTATGATATTCATTTTTGAGTCACCAATTTCGTTATGAATTGACAAAGTTATGGACGTTTAAAGTTTGTCTAATTTTCCGGTGAGTTACCCAGCTGCCAACGGACCAGTCACCTTTTAGGCCATTTTCTGGCCATCTTCGGCCACTTTTTGAACTCCATATAAGTACAATCTTGTTCTACACTTTCCTAGCTTCATTTTGATATATTATGGGCAAAATTTGGTTGCGAAATGGCTCCGAACAGAGCGTTTGAATTCCTCCCCAGATTTTTCGACAAAAATCTGCAACAAACCAGAATAAGAAGAAGAAAAGAAAAAGAAAAAAAAAACCTAAGCCCAAACCCATGTTGGAAGTATGCCCACAAAGCCACTCATTTGATGTAATAGCTTTTGGAATACTTATTATGTTAAACTTTTATATGTTTAATGGAGGGCAAATCTTATTGTTAATCACTGTTTATTATATCATGTGTTTAAGCAATAAGTGAATCCAAGGAATGTATTTGTTCTAAGAGATAAGTGATCTAAGTGAGTTAGATTATCGAGACCTTTCTCTTATGTTCATTCCTAAAACGTTCCTAGCCATAGGATTGTCAATTGGGCATTGACAATCCGCTAAGGTTAGTATGTGTTATGTTGACTCAAGTGTGAGTATGACTAGTCTCAAGTGATTGGTGTTGGACACTAAGACAGACACATAGGTGCTCGAAATAGTAATCGAGTACACTGAACTACGATCAAATCAGAGTTTGAACATACATGTCATGTAAGAACTCTAAGGTTGCAATATGCAAAGTAGTCCTTTGACCTGAGGCATCATAGATGTCTAATGGTTAGGTCCTTGATCTTTGATCCTGTCAACGGCATTCCCTCGGAGTGTCCACGGCATTGTTGGGGTCAAGCTATCTAGTCATGTAGGCATATGAATGTACAACAAAGGATCTCTAACCTTCCATGGTGGAGGGAGAATACTCTAAGATATGATTCTAAAGTCTTTGGCCAAAGCAAATGAATATGACTAAAGGAAGGTTGTTCCAAATCATATTCAAGGGAATCATATAAGAAAGAATCACATTGGATAGTAGACATGAAACAAACTATCACTTAAACAATGTGATTAAGAGTATTGTATTAGAGAGAAGGACCGTATTGCATTGTAGTTGTAACTGGATAGGTTCTCCAACCAATTCTACTTAGCTTGGGTAACCATGACATGCTGCTAGGCGTCAACCATGGTTTGTGGAAGCCCTAATGGTTAGCAAACACTAATCAATGAAAGGGAGAATTGAAATGTGGTTTCAATTCATAATCGATAGTTAAAAGTAACATCGCCCACTGCCTCGCTAATTAGAACCTAATGGATCGTACACCGAGTAAGGATGTATGTGAAGAAATCAAATGAAATGGATAAGCAATTAAATGGTTTAATTGAAGAATGGTCAAGATTAATTAATTAGTTAATTAATTATACGAAAGGTTCGTATTGGGCTTATATGTTGGTTTTGGGTTTCGGGGCCCAAAAGCGTTTTGGTCCAAAAGGCCCATTATGTTTAAGTTGTATGACAACTAAAACAAAATGGGCAAATAGCCCAATAACACCAAGGAGGCCGGCCATTAGGGTTGGATGAGCAAAGTTTGCTTAATTGTAAGTTTGCCACTCACCAAAGAAATGAAGTATAAATTCAACTTTATAGCTTTAGGGTTTGGTAAGTTGAAATTTGATGAGACATTTTTCTCTCTATTTCTTCTAAGAGGCCGGCCATTAAAGGAAGAAACATCTAGCAATCTCTTCTTCTTTTAATCATCCATATCATCTTCACAAGATACAACCTTGGTGAAGAGACTTAGAGACATCAAGCTTTTGGTGTTTTGGAGAACAAATCCTTTTTCCTCAAATCATCAAAGGAGCACTAAAGGGAAGAAAACACAAGAAGGATTCAAGGAGCTTGGAGGTGACTTGAAGGCCCTCCACTTGGGTGAATCCCTTGTGTAAACAAGGATGAGCTTCAAGGGTAAAGAATCACTAAATTCTTCTTTTTCTTTAATGTTGTTAAAGAGTTCATTTTGGTTCACCATATACTAGGCTTTGAAAGTCATGGGTTTTATTGAATTGTTTTTGGATGCATGCCTATATTAATGAGTTAATAGTATGCATATGTATTCAAATGTTCATACTTGTTCTTAGCTAGGACAAAATTTTTCCTTCAACCCAGGCCAAACCTGTAGGCCTTGATTTTAGCCCAGCCCGGCCCATCTCTAAAAAAAAGAAAAGCCCAAACCCGAACTGGCCAAAAACTATAACCCGGATCCGTGGGCCAAATCCAACCTGGATCCCCTTGGAATATTCTGTTAACTCCCAATCAACTTTAATAGAATATTCCTTTTGAGGAGGGAATATTCCGTTAAAGTTCACTATTGACCGTTAGTTGACTTTTTTGAAATTTTCTCGAAAACCCTCCTAGCCTAATTTCAACGTCCTAAGTTCATTTTTGACATCCATTTAGGAAATTCTGAAGGTTTAACATAGTTGACCATCGGGGCATCTCAATTGACTTTATATGGTTGACCGTTGCCTTTTTACAAAATTCGTTGGGGACCCCTTTTAGCGTATTTCGACGCGTTGATTCCAAATCCGCCGTTCTTTTTCCAAATTTATTCGTTTTAGTTGATTTTTACTGATGGGACCCAATATTATGCTAGGTGTAATTACTATCGAAGACTTCGGTTTTCCTAGCTCGAACGGTTATGACATGCATGTATGTGTGAGTGGGTCTTTTTGTTTATATATATATATATATATGTATATGTGTGTATATGTATATATGTATATGTGTGTATATGTGATTTTTCCCAACAATTGCTTCTATATATTACGATGTGACATGTCATTTTTAGCTTTACAAATAGACTTTTCGTACACTTTATATTTTTTTAATATTATTTGTGAGCATAAACTTGTGGCATGACATCCTTGTGTTTTATCTGCTCATTATTCCATGTTTGCACGGTGTCTCTTAGTTATTTGTACTGTCCTAGGCCAAGGACTAGCTTCATATGTAGTTCACATACACCATTTACTATCATTTTGTGTGATGTTTTGGACTCGTTTGTGATGCGACTAGCACATCTCACGTGATGTAGTACTAGAGTGTAAAACCTACACCCAGTCTGTTCCATTGATTAAATATCTCTGCAGTGGACTTATGTGCCTACATATATTGATGAGCATTGAATTCTTTTAATAACGGTTTCAGATTTAATGTTGAGATACCTTGTTGTTGTACCCTACATCTTGGACTCACTTATGCTGCAGGGTACCTACTACATACTATTATTATAATATTTTTGGGAAACCATATACTTGTTTTATAGTGAGGGGTTACACTTTTCAAAAAGGTTTTACAAAACTTTATTTGTCACTCTTGTTTTTTGCCACTCCAGGATTTTAGTGGCAGAGGTTTCATGACGATGATGATTGCTGGTAAAAGCTATCATGTAGGTGACTTCTCCTTTCGGTATACATGTCTTTACTCTTCTTTTACTGTAATTTATCTATGCTCTGACATCACTTGTGTGATATGGGTTCAATCCCGTTCACATGCACACTCTAATTTAGTCACTTTTAGGTTTTAATTTATTTACATTTTCCACATCACTACACTATATGGCTTCGTAACTTCCAGGTGTCAGCCAACACATCGCAATTCGAGTGTCTAGGTGGACATTCCGAGTCGAGGTGTGTCACACAACATGCATAACAGCACTCTTATTGTGCCAAGCGTGAGGAAACGAAGGAGGAACAAAATAGAGCTGGCCTTCAAGCTAAATTCAAAGAGTTGGAAGTTCAGAACAACAAAATAACGATCATGGGTGAGATTCTCCAAGAACATTATGAGAAGTTGTTTGAGATTCTCCACGAGGCTAGATAGACTCAATCTCATGAGCTTATCGCCCTCATGACTGTTGATTATCAGTTGGGTACCCACCAACATGAAGAGTCGCATATCCTCGACATGGATGGTCATAATGTGGAATGATCTCCTTACCAAGATGTTGATCAACATGAGCCAGCTACTAACCTAGGAAATAAGCGATAAGCCTTGAAGGGACAAGAGGGTATAGAAGACTTGAGAGACTTCCAACAGACACATCTCAACAGCTAGTATGTTGAATTTGAAAAGGGCATCCAGACTAGGTAATCCCCAAGAGGAATTTTATTCCAGCGAAGCTCAGTTACGGGGAAATGCTTTGGGTTAGTAAATCCAATTAGTCCGATCGGAAACACTCAAGTGCAACACAAGGTTTTGACAAAAGGATTCAAAAAGTGTTTCTGACCTATATGTCGAAAACTATATTTCCAAAGAACTATCATTTAAGATTCACTAGAAAGGACATGCAATCCAATCTGGGAAGGAAAATTCCTTACTATGTTGCAATTTTGAAACCTTTAGCCCAACAACATGAGAGATGTATAAAACGTTTTGCTAACTTATCTCTTGCCAGATATTTTCGATGTAAGTATAGTCACCTCAGTTTCGATAAATGTAGAAAATGAGCTTAGAGTGAAGGGTTCCTCATGGGTTTAATGTTCAATTCCTGGTACCGAAGTTGAGTGGTACTCCGGATATCGCGATGAGAATCTTTTATAGATGCAGAGTTTGGGAGGTAATGTTTTTTCGAGCCAACATTACCAAGAGGTTTTCTAAAACTTTGTCATGAGCCCACAAACTTATTCACATTTTGCTTCTTTGCTTATTTTATTTCTCAAAATTCATTTACTTTGGAAACATTTATTGGATTGGGAATTCTATATGCCAAAAGATACACAAGAAAGGAAGATTCTCACAGAAATAAATTAAAGAAGATCAAACTAGTACAACAATCTAAAGGAGACAAACCCTCAGCCCTAGCAAAAGAGAAAATTTAGAGTCAGGACGACGTGTTGGACTGGAATCGTTGATCCTAGAGAGAATACCACTGTCAAGCTAGTGACATGCTACGCCCACCTTGCTGTATTCCAGACATAACACTACATTGTGAGCAAGTCTTCAAATGAAGATTTGCCATCGTTAGCATCCACAAGTAGAAGAAATTAAAAGACACTGAGGCAGAGAATACTAAAACATCCCATCACCTCGAAGAAATTGAACACTGGTGCAAATTTTGCACAATGTGTCAGCAAAGGAGAAGGTTCGCGATGGGGCATTTTAGTGCAATTTCAAACACTGAAGCCATATGAGTGCCGCATGGGTGAGTGTTTAAATGAAGGGACGTCATCATCACCATCAGCGAGCATCAGATGAAGAAGAAAATGGTGATGAAAGACCCTTCGGTGGATCTTCACACTTCATGCAGATCCTACCTTTCCACGAAGCCCATATAGAGAGCCTTGCGAAGGAATGAATGGTTTAGAACGAGTTGCAAGAAGTGATGAATATTATAGAGCAAGTTGTAGGAAACAAGGAGACATTTATGAGAATGCATAGATTTTTGCTATACGCAACATGATTTTCTGGGATTGAAATTTTCTCTAACAAATAACCAAGAGGAAGATTAGGATTGAAGAGATAATTTAGGGGAAAAACATAAGTCATTGCACAAATAAGGAAGGAATGAAGAAAAATGTGATTTGAGAAGGCTATTTAAAAACAAACTAGGAAAAGATCTTATAGTTAAAGATAAAGAATCGTCATCCTAGATTAGCATGGATGAGAATCAAGACCAATCAATGAGATACGTGATTTCTTTTTCAAGGAGTGTGTGCGCAAAACGGAGGCGTGCATTATGACAGTTAGTTTTAAGAATTACAGGAATCGAGAACAAACCAACTGCCTCCCTTTAATGAGCTAACCAAATTTCAAGAAAGGCATGGTCTCTGGATAACAATCTATCCTCAAGGGAAACAAGTTGCCTCTCAAATGGATAGTTAGGGACAATTGTGGGACCATAATTTTTCGAAGTTGGAGTAAGGCTGATTTGAATACAATTACCTTAGAAGTCTGGTCATAGAGTCACCAGCTCCGGGCAGAGCTGTATTAGATGGAGTAGCAGTGCCACCATCAATCTACTCCGTGGCATTAGGCGAAGTCCTAGCGACTCTGCTAAATGACCATGCTTGTTTAGCAAGACACACGATTTGATCCGGATATGGACACAATCAAATCTTATAAGTCTTGGAGTTCCTATAATCTAGGAATTGACATGCGCTGCAACTAATCATAACTCTATGAGAGTGCAATATCTACTTCTAGATATCCTCTACGATTCTCTCGGCTTAGAACGAAGATTCCTAAAAAGGTCTCTCTCCCCACGGTATAAATACACCCATCTAGGGTTAATATGTGGTAACGCAATCTAAATACTTGAATTCTCTTGTCTACTCCTCATTTCTCTATAACTAGCCAAGGCTAACCACTTTATTCCGCTAATTAAGAACTATCACCACACTTTTACTACTTTCTACAGTCTGTCTAACTTAAGCATCGAAGACTTTTTGGCTAACACTACAACAGTGTTAATCTAACTCCATTTATCTCTTTTCTTTGCGTGTGTAGGTTTATGTCAATTTAATCTGAGGTGAAACTTTGCTCCCACAAATGAGTCAATGGGAGATTATGTTGATGCTAAAAAACCGGACGTAGATAAACTAAATAGTGAATGCAAAGATGACGATGGGTCCCGAGGTTGGTAGTGTTAATGGTTCACAAACTACATTTTGTACGAAACATATAAACTATTTCTCTAATAACAGTAAGACCCATAAATAAATAGAGATCTCACCAAGTGATCTACATGTAGTCTACCAAATGCAAGAGAGGATCCTCGTCGGAGCCTATTTGTGAGGATCTTGAGGATTCTGCAATCACATCCCTTCATCGTACATCGTACGACCAGTTTTCATTAGGTACTGTTTATATTCAATTTTAAATATAAAATATTACAATGATTTCTGACCGTACGATGTACGATGAACGGATGTGATTTGAGGATCCTCGAGATCCTCAGAAAGAGAATCTGGCGAGGATCCTCTCTCTACCAAATGCCATCTATCTAACATTTTTATATCAAAATATGTTCCGCCACTTCTACGATGGAATTTGCCACTTGTAAGGCATGCTAATATGGATCGGCCAGCTACCTCAGGAAAATTACAATAGACAGAGAACTGGAATCTGACTACTGAGTAGACCTGTAAATAGATCGGGTTTACTGGGTTTGAGTCGGTTTCAATCCGACGCGTTAACTTAATGGATCATCCAAACCCAACCTGTTTAGATAACGGATCATCGAAATCCAACCCGTTAATCTAATAAGTTATCTGTTTCACCCGTTAACACTCATTAACAATTTATTTATTTATTTTTTATTTTTTCATTCCAATACGAATCACACATATTTTAATCAAATCACACATATTAATGAACAGTCTGTTTGGGTTAAAACTTGAACTTTGGGCTCAAAAGGGAGTTGGCCCGAAGAAGGATTAGGAGGAAAAGAGCCCGAAGCTCAGCCAAAGCCCAGAAGGCAGAAAAGGCATTTTCTCGACTAGGTGCAGATTATTTGAACCACTTGTTCACCTACCTAGAGACCAAGCGGTGTAGACCAGCCAGCTAATCAGCCCAAAAGCACTTTACAGTGGCAGTACAAGTAAAAAGCTGATGAGTCATTGCCCTTCAAGCTGCATTCGGGCAAGATTAAAGCTACAGGAGGCCAAGTCAAACTGTCTATAAAAGAAGAAAGAGAAATCAAAGATGAGGACACTCAAACAAACAAACAAATACACAAACTCTGCTCAAGCCAAATTTGCCTTCAACAAAGCTGTAGTCAGCCCAAGCCTTCATCCCTTTCGGGATCAACCCTCACCAAAAGCCTTTGTAAAAGCTCTGCTACCTTGTCTAAATCTTGATGTAGTATCGATTTCCTTCTGTAAACTCATCTCCCTATCCCTCTTTCTAAGCTCTCAAGCCCCTTTATAAATCACAAAGATAGGAACTTGCAAGACGACTAGCCTTGCCCGACAAGGTGAAACCTTGTTCGACCCTCTTTGTTTTTGTCTTTTCATTCATAAGTCTAGTAATATGTTGTATACTTCAATTTGTATCCAAGTTAGTTCTAGCAAGTTGATGATTAAAAGACTCATCAGTGCTTGAATCCGATTGGAATCTGTATTCACAGTTTAAATCAAATCTAAGTTCTAAACCCTTGGGCATGTAAGATTGATCATTCAAAAGTCCTTGTCTCAAGGCATAAAAAAGAACCTTATGTGGACTTAACCCATCCACGACAGTCTTTGATAACAAGAAGTCCGAAGTTACTTGGGGCGCAAGTAATTGACCTATTTCCTAGTTTTATTTCTGTTATATTATGATTATTATAGAACGTTTGAGTATAGAAGTAATTCTGATGGGAAGCCTCAAGGCCTACACCTAAGGCCTTACAAAGGCACCTATTTGGATTCATTCTGCTCTTCTGGCTCGGGTAATTAAAAGTATAATAGTCATAACACTTCTGCAATCAATGAAACAAACATTATATGTTCGAGTACTGGGTTAGTTATTGATTGAGAGCCTCAAGGCCTACACCTAAGGCCCCACAAAGGCATATTTTATAACTAAAACAGCCTCTCGGGCATATATACAATTAAAAGTCAACATCTGTTTTACATCTGCCATGCTAAAGATGGCAGTGGCATGCCTGAACACCTAAAACGTTAATCTTGATTGTGATCCTCAAGGCCTACACCTAAGGCCCTACAAAGGCACCTTTCAAAGTTAACCATGTCCTTCTCTTTCAGCCTTGCCCGACAAGCTTTGCCCGACAAGCCCGCCCGTGAGTAGAAGCCCGACAGAAAGCATCAACCGGCATCAACCTCTCGGGGAGCTGTGTGCTCGTTTGCTAGGAAACATCCTTAATGGAAATTCTAGCCACGAACATAGTTTTGGCATGCCCAGTGGGACTTATGTTTCAATCTCGTATGTTAAAAAGAGAACAAAATACGAATCATCTCAACCTTTGTTAAAGATGACAAATCAATTAGGAAATCTTTCTTCTCCATCAGGTTAGGTGGTCCTGGAAAGCCCAACTTCATCTGGAAGAACTGAAGGAAAGGGAACTAATGAAGAATTGCAGGTTACTATGATACAAGTGTTGAAAAGCATGGAAAAAATCTCTTTGGAAACTAAGAAGGAAGTAAGTAGACTGTGTACCTTGACAGGGAATCTACAAAGAAGACTAGATCTGGAGTTTTCTACTCCAAAAGGTGCTCAAGGAAGTGGGATGAGCTAGGTTACCATCAGAAGTGAAACAGTAATTCCCCTATTTCCGTTATTAGAAGAAAAACAAGATAAGGGAAAGGAAAAAGAAGTACCTGAAGTAAGCCAGCCCATGATTGAACCAGTTCTAGAAAAAGAGTTCCTCAGCTTTCCATTATTATCATTTAATAATAGGAAGCAGAATGAACAAGAAAGGACGAGGTATGGGATGCCCATAATAACCGAAGGAGTCAGCGGAAAAGAAGGCTTTGTCACCTTAGATAAACCTCCTCCTTATAGGCCACCTCTTCTGGCTAATAAGGGAGGAGGAGCCAACTGGAGGAAGCCTGAGTCAAAGAAAGAGGCGCGGGCAATGACCGGAGCCCGAATAGCGAGTCTGCCCTTCTATTCCAGAATAATAATACAGCTACTCAACAACTGAGGGATGAGTTAGCTGAGTTAAGGAGGACGGTGGTTCATAATGTTCAACCACGAGTTCGCCCAGTATTCAGGGTTACCTATCAAAAGCCTTATCCTGAGTACATTGATGAGCAAAACCCGTTTCCTTTCAACTTCAAAATGCCTGCATTCCCAACATTTTTTGGTGAAGATGGTAGTGTGTCCTCCAGAGACCACATTTTCAAATTCTCCAATCATTGTGTGGCATATGAAGACAACCCGAACTACAACTTAAGGTTGTTTGGAAATTCATTGGCGGGACTAGCATCTCAGTGGTATTCTCTATTACCCCCTAACTCTATTGCCAACTAGGGGGATGGAGATGGCCTTCCATGAACAGTTTTACAGAATAGAACCAGAAATGACTATTAATGATCTGGTTGAAGTCAAACAATACGAACATGAGTCTACAGAGGATTTCATGATGAGGTTCAAGAAAACAAGGATGAGATGCCAATTCCCCGTCAACCAAGCTCAGCTCATATCAATCGCCCAAAGGGCTCTGAGGTTACCTTTGAGGAAGAGGTTCTATGATACGCAATTCAATGAGTTGCAAGAATTGGTAATCGCTGCAACAAAGTGTAAAAGGCTGCTGCTAGAGGAACAACAAGTGAAGCACACTTCCAAGGCTCTTCCTTTTTATAAAAACAAAGCTGCGATTCATCGTGTAGAGGTAGAAGAAACACGGCCAGAGCATGAAGATGGCCATGATAGGGAGGAAATTGATGTTTATGCTGCTGAGATGACCACTCCTTTCAAACCATTAATGGTGAAAGGGTTGGTTCAACCCATCAAAGATCAGAAAATTGTGATGAATGATGGAAGGTTTGTTCCTATGAAACCTCCCAAGTACTAGAGTTATTCCTTTGACTTGGCCAAAGCTCATGAGATCTATGAAGAACTGGTGCGGGCAAGAGTAATTTTGCCCGACAGTACTAAAAAGATGCCCAAGCCAAAAGAGCTAAGAGGGAAGAAATATTGCAAGTTACACTATACCTTCAATCATTCCATAGCCAATTGTGTCCAGTTTAGAGATTGGATACAAGACCTTATAGTGAAGGGAAAGCTATTACTGGACAAGCCTCAAGCCAGTATGATAGTTGACACAAACCAGTTCCCGGAGGCCCCTATCAATACGATCAACCTGATTTGGGTAGAGAAGCCAGGGTCATCATTTATTACAAAAGAAGAGGGAGATGGATCCCAAGTTGCCCCAACACCCCCGCTTAAATAATAGTACCATAAGAAGGACCAAGTGATCATGATCAGGTCCCAAATTGGTATTAGTAAAGGAAGCAGAGAAAAACAATAATAAAAAAATAATAAACAAAGGGACATGGAGTTGCCCGAATAAAATTCAGACAAGAGCCATAAGCAAAGCAAGCAGAGGCAAAACACATGTTCATTATGCTAAAAGAAGGGTTACAAGTAATCCTAGTCTAATAATTTTACATCTTTACTCAGAGTGATTATTCGGGAATGATAAGTTTGCATAATTACAAAAATCCTACTAGGTTCGGCCAGAATAGTATTGCTATTTGCAAGTTGAGACCTAGTGTACTCTAGCTCCGAGTTTGACTTCTTCACTTCTTCGATTTTATGTTTGAGGGTGCCAAGAAGAGTTGCTTACTCAGCTTTAAGAGCAACAAGTTGTTCCTCCAGTTTCTGGATTTCAGAAGTTACCACTCCGATCATTTCTTTTGTCTGCAAGCCCTCATCCATCAACTGCTCGACCTGTGCAGAAGTACTTAATTCCTTCTCCTTAAAGCATTTTACATGATTGGCTTGTCTAGCAGCTCTCTGATGTTGCTCCCTAAGATCCCTCAAGTTCTTAAAATAAGAGAGAAAAGAATCATGTTGGGCTTTGGATAGCTGATTAGCTTTGAAAAGCTCAATCGTAACCTTTTCTAGGTCACGATGAGCCTCGAGGCTGAATGAAGCTGAGAAGTCCTTCCAAGCCCATTCTTGGAAAGCTTGATGTTGCTCTTGAAAGCCGGAATGTGCTGAAGAATGCTTTGAAGATTTCAACCTTATCTCAAGTTGTCCGAATTCTTCAAAA